CTGTACGAAGTGAAAATTGACTCTATTTATTCTATACCAAGTTAAAGTAGCTATACGCATGTAGCAGTAGAACGTTACATGTGACTAAATAGGAATTGTACAACTTAATAGATTGAAGTATTCCTGTGTAGAATTATCACTCTTATTTCAATATCTCTTTTTTCACACTCTTTCCCCACACTTTTTTAAATCACATATCCATATTAATACATGCAGATCCAAATTCTCAAGCGCTAGAAGTGGAACCCAAAGATCAGTACAGTAATGGTTACTCGTCACGGTTCTAATAATCTGCAGATACTGAAAAAGAGCATCTTCTGCCCCTTATATTTGCAAAGAGAGGCCTCATATGTGACACCATTTCGGAGGGAATACAGGGAACCTTGCAAAAGTGCACACAACGGAGGGCCTAAATCGAGTGTAGTGACCAAAAATGCCATGATTTTAATAACCTAGATGTTCACCTGAAGCGAAAAGACGGACGATCTGCAGAGCACCACCCCAAGCGCCAGCCACCGATACATGCGAATGGATGAACTTGTCTTTCCAGGCCTGTTATTTGCAACTGATCATTACATATGGCTGCAAGCACCCTACAGGAATGTTTTTACTAGGCAATGAACGTACATCACAGACCACGCTGACATACATCACAGACAAGAGGCAGACCACGCTTCCGCTGAATGAGAGTTCGATCAAAAGTAGGATTAACTGGGTCGGATGGTGACTGCAGTCGAAAAGTTATAAAATTTTTCGAAACGACCGGCAAGCGTAGTGCATTCCAACCCAGGCTGGAACGCGCTACGCTTGCCGGCACGATCACGCGTTTTTGCACTAAACTCACAGATTGCTAATAGCAGAAATGATCCCTGCGTTTTAGCCTAAAACTTGGGCTCACATTGGCCGCGCTTTGGCTTCTTCCGGCATGTAAGAGAAAGGGCATTGGTTGGGATGAGGGTGTTGCATTATAACACTGCATGGGCCTTCAGGTACATGACTGCCAATTTTTCTGCATGAAATCTGGTCATATTTTTGATAAACGCTCGCTTTTTGAAAAAGTATAAATTCCCAGTTCACTAAAAAGTGGAAGTGTTGCTAGAGCGGTCGTTCGTAAAAAAATTCATATATGCAAATGAACTGGATGTTCATTTAAATATTTGGATGAGGACGATCCTTTGCTGCAAAACGCATTCGTTTCTGATTTTTAATAAAGTCTATTACTTCTCATAACCACCTGCAGAGTATTTCACTTCCAAGTAGAATTAAGACCGCACTTGAAAGTAAAATATCCCAGCGAAGTTTCAACCTCGCATCTCATCCGGTATGCAAAATAGCCACTTCGTTACAATTATCTTTGAAGTGTGCTAAGTCGTGGCGCAAATGCAAATCGGAACTCAATTTAGGTATACGATTTCCAATATGGGCGATAAACATGCCGACAAAATTCCAGCCACTATTTTTCGGTAAGTTTTCGAATTAGCACAGCACGAATTTGCAAACTTTAACGTGATCATAAGCACTGCACGAGCGTGCGCGACAGCTGAATTTGGAGTCTTTAGCTCGCACATGCCCAAATTTTCAGGTTTGCACTTTGCCTGGTTCTCAAGGTCGATTACCACCAAAGAAATTTGCATATTTTTTGGGGCTCCTTACGCGGGATTTAGGCGCGCGTGAGCGAAACTACGATGACGCACGGGGTAAGAATATACACCCAAAATTTCAGCCTCCTAGCTCTCTTGGTTGCTGAGATGAAAGTGGATGACAAAGTTTACTTGCTTCTGAACGTAAACACACAGACGACTTCTCGACAATTTGCGTTTTTGCTGGCTGTAGTAAAAACGCTGCTGTAACGCTGCACAGCAAAAACACATAAAGAGCATCATAGACTACATCCAGGCAAATAGGGCAGAACTGGTGTTTTGGTGAAAGAATGCGAAATGCAAAGTGTGTCTTTCCAAGCTATTTTTGTTGGAGGTAAAATATCATTTCGATATAGGGATTATGAGTGGATAATCGCTGTATTAAAAAATTATATAGTACGGTAACTAAAATCTCCCGCACCGATCGTGTAAAGAGGTAGTGAGTCCCAATGCATCTTGGGGACGACTGTTGCACATTTTCGAGTCAGAATGGAACTGGTCCAATTATTCTACCCGCTTCATATTTCTCTTAGTTAAATTCGGGACAGAAAAGATATCCGCAAACACTTTATTTCAGCTTCTCTTTGGAATAAAAGTTTTGTCATCCTGTTGCCTCATTTTGCGATCATGGAATTTAAGTTTTCAGCAAGTTTAACAATAGCTTTTTTGAAAAACTGAAGAACCGCCGTGTTCCTGCACTTGCCATAGTTGAACTAACAAATAATTTCTAATTGTCAGTAATTACTGAATTGTTATTAGGTTAAAACAAATAGAATTTTTCTTCCCCATTTCGGCGTTTGCAAAGACAAACAAAAGCTTTCTTTTCAAATATTTAGGAAGTTTTAGAAAATTTACAGAATTCTGTACAAATAATCCGGGAAAAGAATGAAGCGGAAAAAGTAATTGGAAAGGGCTAATGCTTAAAAAAAGTTCAAGTATTTGGAAAAATTCGTTTTTTGGAAAGAATACTTGCAAAACTGATTAAATCCGCTTGGAAAAGGTAAACTAGATTTTTCAATTACTTGGAAAAAAGATAAATTAGATTTCTGTGTGAATGAATGGGTGTATATGAATATATATGCATACATATATTGGTTGATTAAATGATTAATAGACGGCTTGAGTGGAACCTGCGAGACTATGTTATTGTAGAAGTAGAGCATCACTGGATTGCCCATGCTGTGCGCGATTACCAACACTTTCCTTCGCCCGTTGTATCGATAAAGGTCCTCAATCAGCTGTATTAGATTTGCGTAATAAGTTTCATATTCATCTGCAAATACAAATTCCTACATTAAATCAGTTATGAAAATTCTCAAGTTAATTCTCCTAATTTTCAGTAAACCCGAAAGCCATACTGGCTAATTGGGAAAAAAAGGCAAATGTTTTGGTGATCAAATTAATGTGGTCGTTTTTTATGCGTCATTGCACATATGCAAACTTCAGAAACGCATATTGCAACGACCTTGCCTGTGAGTGTATGTGTGTACGTGCATGTGTGTTCGTCGGTCCGATCATTTCAACTCGACCCCAAAATTTTGCCGGTTGGTTCCTCCGCCAAGTGCCATCCCAGGACCGCAGTACCAACTCTCTTGAACGTGTAGGCCCCGCGTGCAACCGCGTGAAGGTTTTAGCGGGAAAATTACTAACTCGGGAACGAAAGAAGCTAGAGAGCTGAAATTTTTAGTCATGCTCCCCGTCCACATAGAATTCAAAGACTTTAAATTCAGCCCCCAGTTATGCGCGGTTCCTATTTAGGATCCCGTCAGTGTTCCTGGCGGAAAATTACTAACTTGGAAACCTGAAAAGCTACGAGGCCAAAATTTTAAGGGGATGTTCCCAGCTCATGCAAAACTCATAGTTATCACAGTCAGCCTCCAGGCTGTGTTGTTCTAACGTACGGCCCCGTGAAACTTTTTGGCGGGGAATTAGCTAACTCAAGAACTAGGAAAGCTGTGACGTAGAAATTTTAAGGAGATGTTCTCCGCCCATGCAAAACTCGGCTCGAAGTATGCCCCCCGGTCACGTACGACTCCATAAAAGTTTTGGCGAGGAAACTGCTAGTTCGAAAACCAGAAAATCTGGAAAGCTGAAATTTTAGAAGCTGAATATTCCCCGCACAAGCGCAATTTAAAGGTTTCAGATTCAGTCACCAGGCACGCGTAGTTTTCGTGTACGGCACTTAAATTTTTTGGCGGGAAATTGCTCGTTGAATAGCTGGGTCATTTTCCAAAGCCAGACTGGAACGCATCAGGCTTGCCAGTGCGATCATGCGTTCTTGCATTAAACTACTCAGGTCATTATTTGCATAAATGGTTGTTGCTTTCCACTTACCTTTTGCGCTCACTAGCGTAAATCACCATAGATTTTGCATAAAGTAAATGAACAATTTCCATTTAACGGTCGTTCTTTGAAAGTGACTTAGCTGTTCAGTGAGCAATTTTCCCGCCAAAACTTTTTTTTTTCGCATGCCCGTGTGTGAGCATCTCACGCACTTGGAAAGCTGGACCCAGCTATTCAACGAGCAATTGTACTTTGACGGTGAACATCCCTCTAAAATTTTAGCCTCCAGCTTTTCTGGTTGCCGAGTTAACAATTTTCCCGCCAAATCTTCCACGTGCTTAGACGTAAGAAATACGCATACCTGAGGGCTGGATTTGAAATATTTAAACTGTACTTGGACAGGGGACACTGCTCCGAAATTTCAGCTTTCTATCTTTCCTGATTCCCGAGTTAGCAGTTTTTCCGTCAAAACTTTCATACGCCCTTTCGTGAGTACCACAAATACCTGGGGGATGAATTTGAAATTTTTAGTCAGTACATGCACAGGGAATATCCCTACAAAGTTTCGCTCCTTAGCACGTGTGGTTCCCGGAATCGCCTTCCCAGCAAAAAATTTGCATATTTTTTCGAAGCGTCCGTACACGGCACGCAGGCGCAGGCGGATGATGATATTAAAGCTTTAGGAGCAAGCACGATATAGGCACATACCCCGCAAAGTTTAAGCCTTCTAGCTTTTCTGGTTCTCGAGTTGAAAGTGAGTGACGAGAAGTGCGAACACAGACTCACACACAAACAACCTCTTGCCAATCTGCTTCTTTGCAGTTTGCATATATGCGAAAAAGCATAAAAACTGCCGTTAAACAGAAATTGTTTATTGTCGCGTATGCGAAATTTACGACACTGAGCGCGTAAGGTAGGTGTGAAGCAACTATCATTCATGCAGTTAACTAAATTATTTCAAGTTTGGTGCAAAAACGCATGATCGCACCGGCAAGCTTAATGCTTTTCAGCCTAAGTTTAGTTTTTTAATTGAAATGAACTTTACCAAGCTTAAAAATAAGCATTTCAATACTTTTACAGCTGGGTGCTTTCTCAAAAGCTGAATGGCCAGTCAAGGCAAAAATCAACGGATGCACTGGGATCGGGAAAAATTTTTGTCGGAAGCAACTTTCCAAGGATTTATCACGAAGAAAAATTATTCGTAAGAAATTGGATTACCACGGGCAACCAATATCATTGTTATCAAAGAAAATCGAAGCCATTCTCTAAATAATCTGCACTTGATCCTTCTGCCCTGAGTAGCTAATTCTGATCTGTTGCCCTTCATATTCAGGTCATATCGATGAAGTTTTTGTCGATTTGTCCAGATTTTAAAATTTTCAAAAATAAAAAACATGCTCGGGGCTCGTCTCCAGTCAAGCGGTGCGCCCACAATGCTTTTGCCACGCCTGTATCCGAGTGGCACTAGTGCTTCAACAATATCTGTGAAGTATCTGCCTTCCGAGCGTTTCGAGTTATCAAGCCATTCCACAGTGCTTGTGTTGCCGAATCCCGGAACGCGAATAATGACACCTGGCATGTCTGATGTTCTGTTGGTTGTTGTATTGTATGCTAACCTTTAAAAGGCTTCGTGTAACTGGGTTAGCACACCAAAACAAAAAAAAAATTTTTACCAACACACGAGCTGCCCGTGCGAAGTTGCATTTTTTGCAGAGTTCCCCACAGTTTTTGTCGCTACCGGCATCGGTTTTTTCAGCAGATGATTCTAGCTGAAAGAATTTCAGACTAGCCGCCG